TTTTTTTTTTTTTTTTTTTTTACGTATTTTGCTGTGATATTGTAATTGTGTGTATAACTATGAAAAATACACATATTTATCATTCCCTTATTGTCGAAACATTATAGTTTAGAAAAACTAAGTGCCACAAAACGAAACAAAAACCGTTTCATGAACTTATATATTGTTTCATGTAATAGTCATTTTAGCATTTTTCACATATTCTACGATAATATTGTAGTTGATTTAATAAATGTAGACAAAATGCGTGAATTTTCTTGTTACTATATGTTAAAATAGCGTAGATTTTAAAATTTTTAGTTCCATAAACTTTAAAATTATTTTGAAGTAGTCATTTTAACGTTTTCACACATTTTCTAGTAATATTATAGTAGTTAGTGTAAATATGTACAAAATTTGTGTATTTTCTTGTTACAATATGTCAAAAATCAAAATAGGATGCTTTTTGAAATTTAGTGAACTTCTAATTCTCTCGTAAAATGCAATTTTTACATTTTTGACATTAGATTACATAAGCCAAACAAGAACAATTTCTCAAAATTCTAAATTGTTTGGCAAAGTTGAAATCTATTGTAGTGTTTGAGATAGGGTTTCTTTTATGCTTTAAGGAATAATGACTTAAAAAAGTAAAATATATATTTTTTTAAATTATATAAATTTGTTCATTGAGTTTTTTTCGTTTACATTTACCCTTTCAACTTATTTAAGTATACATATTCAGTTCTTAAGACCAGTTACTTCAGATTATCCGGAAAATTGACTTAATAGGATAATATATTTGTCACTTTATACATATTTAGTCATAAATATTTTTCTACACATTTAATCATTAATATTTTTTGTTTGAAAATAAATCATTTTTGTTTTTATACTTATTTAGTACTTATAAATGATTTTTTTTTAAGTTATTCTCACGACATCTTACGTGGGACAATCATTGATGAGATCTTTGAGGTTGTTGATAATTATGTCCATCGCGATCTCGACTGTTTGGTTGTGTATGTCTTATGGTTTGACTTAGGTCTTGTATTCTGAACGTCGTAATTTTTTATACGATATTAGATTTTAACGATATTTATATCCACGTGTTGATTTTTTGAGTCTACTACAACTTTTATTATGATTACTCCAATTAAAATCTAATATATTTTTACTTACGATTTTATCAAAAAAAATTCATACATATATTCATAAAAACCGTATGGATATAATAAGTAAAAACATATTATTTTTAACATGAGTAATCTAAATAAAAGTTGTAGTAGACTAAAATACGAACGCATTAATATAAAGATCGTTAAAATCCGAGATGGTATGAATAAGTTATGACGTTCAAAACAAATCACCTAAGCAACCAAGTAGTCGTGATCGCGATGGACATAAGTATCAAAAGCGTCAAACACCTCATTAATGATTGTCCCACTTAAGATGTCATGAGAAAAACCTAAAGAAATCATTCATAAGTACTGAATGAATACAAACACAAAATTAATGACTAATTTTACATAAATGAAAATATTAATGATTAAATGTGTACAAAAATATTAAGTCCTAAATGTGTATAAAGTGAAAAATATATAACTTTATTAACTATTAAGTCATTTTTATCGGTTAATCTGGAGTAGCCGATAATAAAGACTGAATGTGTACAGTTTAATAAGTTGAAAAGATAAGTTTCGACGAAAAAAAAGAAACTCGATGATCAAATATATAAAAATCAAAAAATATATTACTATTTTAAATCATGTTTTAATCAGACTATTTTGTATTTTCTCGTTCACTCAATTTAGGACTATTTTGTATCTTCTCGTTCACTCACTTTAGGCTTTTTATTGTGTAGATATTGTGTAGGATGGTAACAAACTACCATGTTCAAAATATGTTATTATAACATTAAATATGAAGTTTTATAGCTTTTGATGTTGATTTGACATATTCTGTTCATGTGGCGGTCATTGTTGATAACTACTTATTTATTTTATTTTATTGATATTGATATTTAATTTATAAAATACATTTATCAAATTATCCTTTTGTAGTGTACTTTTATCAAATTTTATAAATTTTGGATTTTGGTTATATGGTATCAAACTAAACATGACACCTATATTTTTAATTTTAATCAAGGTTAATACCATGTCATATTGGCCATCAAGGCTATGGTAATCGTTGGAAAAATAATAAAAGGTTAGATTGGTTGAAATCCCCAAAGCCTTATGGAGAGTGGAGACTGGCATCTGCATCTGGTTCATGTCATGCTATTACGATTTGGAAGGCCTCCATCAATAGATGATGAGAGGAACATGTTCTAGATATGGTTGTTCCCATAGCTTCTCCTACTTCGTGTTTTATAATTCGTAAATAAATATTTTGCGAAAACTTCAACAAGTTCAACGAATAGTATACACAACTCATTTCTCTTCAATTGACTGGTGTAATTGACATGAGGTTAGAAAAAAAAAACTAACAATTCCGATTCTTCAAAATATGACTAAAAAGAAGGCTTGCATACCGATTCTTCAAAATTTTAGTCGTAAGATTTCTCATTGGAAAGTTGATGATTTATCTATTGGGTGTTTCTTTACACTTCTCAAATCGGTACGGGGAAGTATAAGGATTATTTTTCCTCATTTTTTATGCTCTTTTGGCGATTTTAAGACTTAAAAAGTGATCATAATACCTTCTCTTGGGAAATATGAGTGAACACCTAATCACTTAGGTGTTGTTTGTTTTTTTGAAACCAAAATATCTGCAGTCTGCGGACCACATTTGCAAGTATCTGTGGCAGAAGAGGTGGAACAAATGTTTGCAATCTGCAATAAAAAAAACTGTTTGTTTTTAACGTGTTCAGTTGTTGAAATAAATTGATTTTTCAAACTTAATTTCATATGATAAACATTAAAAGTGCTTTTTCAGAAAAAAAAAAAAAAAAAAAAAAAAAAAAAAAAAAAAAAAAAAAAAAAAAAAACTGCATGGTGGTCCATGTTTTTTTAAGCTTAAAATGGTTCTAAAGATCTTTGAAGACAGTAATCCATATCTGCGCCAACAATGCCTTGCGTAGACATTTTTTGTTATGCATATTTCCAAAAGACAACACTTTACGAGAGCATATGTCTGTGCGGCGCAGACAAAAATGATTGCGCGGATCGTTAAAAAAAAACACCTCTTAAATTAAATAGGTTCATGTCATGGCGGATAGGATAAATGAGGTCCTGGCATAGGAAGTTTATTCTCTAAGGTGCTGTTTAATTTTCTGAAACAAAAATTCACAAAGTCTGCGGACCACCTCTGCAACCCTCTGCAGTAGAAGAGGTGGACCAAACGGCTGCAGACTATAATAAGAAGCGTGTTTGTTTTTTTTAACATCTGCATACTGCTGCAGATATTAAAAAATTAAAATAAACTAATTTTATAAACCGAAAATAGCTTTTTAATACGTAAAATTTAATAATGTATAACATTTCGGTAAAAATTAATGATATTTTAGTAAAAATGAATGATATTTCAACAAAAAATAAAGATATTTTCAGTAAAAAATAATGATATTTCAACAAAAAATAAAGATATTTTTAGTAAAAAAATAATGATATTTTATCAAGAAATTATCATTATTGAATATAAAAAAAAATGAAAAATAAATTCAATAAGAATAAACGAAAAAAAAAGGAAAAAAATGTGAAATAAAATTTTAATAACATATAATCAAAATTTCAGCCGTAGCCGGATGTTTAATCGACGGAGCAAAGAAGCGGTGGGTGGCCTTCAGAGGTGGATGCCCGTTACACGAACGACAGAAAATTAGAAATCGCACACAAAACAGATGGGAATGAAGTAAAATTTTATAAGATTTATTTTACAGGAAAGGAAAGTCGCCAAAATAGTATATATATATATATATATATATATATATATATATATATATATATATATATATATATATATATATTTTAAATACACCCTTCTAATAATTAACTTTTAACATATTTATAATCAATTTTTTGCATTACAAAAATATTAAATAAATAATGTTATATTTATAAAACACTTATAAGTAAATATTATACATGTATTTATATAAATATTGCACATAAAAACTTTAAAATTAATATTATACATGCATTTATAGAAATATTATACATTGACACTTTTAAATAAGCTATTACAAGTGTGTTTTAAAATTTCAATATGTATTTAAATTTTTATATGAATTTAATACACAAAAAACAAGCTTTATATATATATATATATAAGTAATTAATAAAATTTAATACATAACAAAATAGTATAAATATTAAATGTTACATTTAAATTATAATTAATAGATAAAAATAAACTATAAATGTATAAAACAAAAGAAAAAGACTAAAATCGGCAATGAAACTTCAAACTCTGTTTTAGAAGAAATGAATAATGTTCCTACATATTTGATGTGATACTATTCCTCTGTCCCAAAATAGAGATAGAAATGAGATAAGGTTGGAGGAAAATCGGAGGATAAATGGAGTTTTAGGATGTCTTGGAGATGCTATTATGGTTCTTAGGAACAAAGTATCCATGTAAATTTGGAAGGATTGGTCGAAGGGAGATAAACCTATATGGCTTATGTGAAGTTATTCTTCAAATCTGTGCTCTTGAGAATAATAAAGGGTATATGGTTTTCCATCGGTTCTATTTGGGCACCCATCCAAACGCTTCATGGATTCCAAACCAATGATAACAATGACATATGGGTTTAGCGTTTATCTAATACAAGAGATTTCATGGTTACTTCTTTACGTTATACCACACATCTTCAATCGAGTTCTACTTTAGACACATTGAAGATTTACCAATTTCATAGATCTATGATCGCCAATCAATAGTTTACTTTTGGATACTATGGAGATGTGAGAACAACCTTCTATTTGAGACTAAATAACAACATACAAAAAATTCGTTGTTAAACAATAACATAAACCCTTATGTAAATCCAACTTAATTTCATATATTTCATCAGTCAAGCCTTTTAAAATGTCAACTTTCTAATAATAATTAACTTAATAAAATTCACCAACCGAAATTATTAGATACATTTTGTGAAATAAGTGTCTCCCACACGTCCCCCACCCATTGTTGTCCTCACATTTGATTTGAACACTTTCGGGTTGTCCCTTAAAACACCCGCAGCCTCATGATTTAAAGGATCTTCATGGTTCGGTTCCTGTATACACTTAATTAATTATAACATATCCATTTACAACAATATAGATAAATATTTTTAAAGTTTTCGTTCCCAGATACTTGTAGTACTATACCAGTCACCAATCCTGGTATAGTACTGCCAGTATTGTATGCAAGTACTATCAGTACGGTACTACTGTCAGTACTGAATGCTAGTATTTTACATGAATCATACCGTGAAGAGATGATACAATCCGTAAACAATTGTGTTTATGTTGAGGACGGGTTTCCAATCTTCTCGTAAGATGTTGAGGCAAACATTTCCTTCTAAGTCAATATTAGGATGATACACCTGATATTTTATATATATTTCTCAATGCGTAACTTTAACAAAAAGTAAATACTCAAATAATAAATGAGAAGAATACATTTTTTTTACCTTGGTTTTACACTTGACTTTTGGCGCCTCGTGTGGATAGGTAGCACCAACATTGAAAGTGAACAAAAATTTTCCACCCCTATAACATAAATAAACACATATAAGTTATAAAGCAAGATTATATGTATATGGAAAGTTTATAAAAGAAAAGGATTTAAAGGAAAACGTACATGTAATACCCTTCATCGGGTTTAATGGTGATCTCAAAAGCCATTAAGTCGTCCTTGCCATTTGGAAATGAAATGGTGCATGATTTTGGTAGGTTTAGTTCACTTATGTCTAGAAAATGTAACGTGTTAAACGTAAGCATATACAAGATATAAAGTCATTATGTTGGTTGAAAATATATAGATAAAAGGTTTTACCCTTATGAACACGCAATTCCCCTGCACTTTGCTTCTTAAAGGATCCATTTCCGTTTGCATTTTTCGCCTCTTCTTTTTGCTTTTCCTTGACTTTAAACAACATAATCATGGTTCCTGTAGAAAGGATAAGAACCATAGTTAAATTTGAAGAAAAATCTACTTCTTTTAACATAGTAAGAAACCAAGTCATGAGTTCACCTAACAGGTAAGTCGATCAAGACTGAAATACTAAATAGGATCATGTATTTGCATGATGTTAAACTAACACATGAACTTTATTTACAGTAGGTTCTATGATGTCTATGGGAGATTCCACCATAGATTAGGGCGATTCTTATTAGTGGAATTACATATGAAATTCAACATAATTACTTAGCATCTTAAAGAGAACTCACTGGGAAAAGAATGGTGAATCATGAATACAGTTATATAGAAAACAAATTGATTCCACAAAGAGATGTAATTCTCTTTCATTCATTCAGATAGATGTATTTGTGACGTTGACATTGCAAATAAAGAAGGAAGTTGAAAAGAAGTAAACCTAAAACAAATCTCTATGTACACTAATGGAAGTAAAGATTGGCAAATGTCAAGGAAGCATATTGATGCCTAAGATCCAATTGAACCTAGCGTGTTACCAAAATTTTGGCCTGTTACAACATGAAATCATATGATATCGGCTTAATCCATTGTTGATGCTACAGAAAATAGTGAAGCAACAATTTGATGATAGTAAACCCTTGCTCTACATCGATAGCTTGCTGCGATAGGATGATAATCGTCATCAATCCTTCACAAGCCTAATATTAGGCCAACCTCAGTTACCGATCGGAATGCCCTAACTTATTCTCGAATGCAAGGACCACAACCACTTGATGATTTTTAATCATGTAGTTTACCATAAAACAATGTACACTACAAAATCGATTTCTAATTATGAAAGAAGAACGATCATAGAAACAATAAACGTGATGTTCTGTTTTCAATCGAAACCCTAGCTGATAATAAAAAAAAAATAGAAAGCGAAGATACTTATGATTGTTAGGAACTTCTGCGTGAGGTTTGGATGGATGAACGAGATTCAACCGTAGCCGGATGTTTAATCGACGGAGCAAAGAAGCGGTGGGTGGCCCTCGGAGGTGGATGCCCGTTACACGAACGACAGAAAATTAGAAATCGCACACAAAACAGATGGGAATGGAGTAAAATTTTATAAGATTTATTTTACAGGAAAGGAAAGTCGCCAAAATAATATATATATATATATATATATATATATATATATATATATATATATATATTTAAATACACCCTTTTAATAATTAACTTTTAACATATTTATAATCAATTTTTTTCATTACAAAAATATTAAATAAATAATGTTATATTTATAAAACACTTATAAGTAAATATTATACATGTATTTATATAAATATTGCACATAAAAACTTTAAAATTAATATTATACATGCATTTATAGAAATATTATACATTGACACTTTTAAATAAGCTATTACAAGTGTGTTTTAAAATTTCAATATGTATTTAAATTTTTATATGAATTTAATACACAAAAAACAAGCTTTATATATATAAGTAATTAATAAAATTTAATACATAACAAAATAGTATAAATATTAAATGTTACATTTAAATTATAATTAATAGATAAAAATAAACTATAAATGTATAAAACAAAAGAAAAAGACTAAAATCGGCAATGAAATTTCAAACTCTGTTTTAGAAGAAATGAATAATGTTCTTACATATTTGATGTGATACTATTCCTCTGTCCCAAAATAGAGATAGAAATGAGATAAGGTTGGAGGAAAATCGGAGGATAAATGGAGTTTTAGGATGTCTTGGAAATGCTATTATGGTTCTTAGGAATAAAGTATCCATGTAAATTTTGAAGGATTGGTCGAAGGGAGATAAACCTATATGGCTTATGTGAAGTTATTCTTCAAATATGTGTTCTTGAGAATAATAAAGGGTATATGGTTTCCCATCGATTCTATTTGGGCACCCATCTAAACGCTTCATGGATTCCAAACCAATGATAACAATGACATATGGGTTTAGCGTTTATCTAATACAAGAGATTTCATGGTTACTTCTTTATGTTATACCACACATCTTCAATCGAGTTCTACTTTAGACACATTGAAGATTTACCAATTTCATAGATCTATGATCGCCAATCAATAGTTTACTTTTGGATACTATGGAGATGTGAGAACAACCTTCTATTTGAGACTAAATAACAACATACAAAAAATTCGTTGTTAAACAATAACATAAACCCTTATGTAAATCCAACTTAATTTCATATATTTCATCAGTCAAGCCTTTTAAAATGTCAACTTTCTAATAATAATTAACTTAATAAAATTCACCAACCGAAATTATTAGATACATTTTGTGAAATAAGTGTCTCCCACACGTCCCCCACCCATTGTTGTCCTCACATTTGATTTGAACACTTTCGGGTTGTCCCTTAAAACACCCGCAACCTCATGATTTAAAGGATCTTCATAATTCGGTTCCTGTATACACTTAATTAATTATAACATATCCATTTACAACAATATAGATAAATATTTTTAAAGTTTTAGTTCCCAGATACTTGCAGTACTATACCAGTCACCAATCCTGGTATAGTACTGCCAGTATTGTATGCAAGTACTATCAGTACGGTACTACTGTCAGTACTGAATGCTAGTATTTTACATGAATCATACCGTGAAAAGATGATACAATCCGTAAACAATTGTGTTTATGTTGAGGATGGGTTTCCAATCTTCTCTTAAGATGTTGAGGCAAACATTTCCTTCCAAGTCAATATTAGGATGATACACCTGATATTTTATATATATTTCTCAATGCGTAACTTTAACAAAAAGTAAATACTCAAATAATAAATGAGAAGAATACATTTTTTTTACCTTGGTTTTACACTTGACTTTTGGCGCCTCGTGTGGATAGGTAGCACCAACATTGAAAGTGAACAAAAATTTTCCACCCCTATAACATAAATAAACACATATAAGTTATAAAGCAAGATTATATGTATATGGAAAGTTTATAAAAGAAAAGGATTTAAAGGAAAACGTACATGTAATACCCTTCATCGGGTTTAATGGTGATCTCAAAAGCCATTAAGTCGTCCTTGCCATTTGGAAATGAAATGGTGCATGATTTTGGTAGGTTTAGTTCACTTATGTCTAGAAAATGTAACGTGTTAAACGTAAGCATATATATATATATATATATATATATATATATATATATATATATATATATATATATATATTAGTATTTATAGAAATACAAGATATAAAGTCATTATGTTGGTTGAAATTATATAGATAAAAGGTTTTACCCTTATGAACACGCAATTCCCCTGCACTTTGCTTCTTAAAGGATCCATTTCCGTTTGCATTTTTCGCCTCTTCTTTTTGCTTTTCCTTGACTTTAAACAACCTAATCATGGTTCCTATAGAAAGGATAAGAACCATAGTTAAATTTGAAGAAAAATCTACTTCTTTTAACATAGTAAGAAACCAAGTCATGAGTTCACCTAACAGGTAAGTCGATCAAGATTGAAATACTGAATAGGATCATGTATTTGCATGATGTTAAACTAACACATGAACTTTATTTATAGTAGGTTCTATGATGTCTATGGGAGATTCCACCATAGATTAGGGCGATTCTTATTAGTGGAATTACATATGAAATTCAACATAATTACTTAGCATCTTAAAGAGAACTCACTGGGAAAAGAATGGTGAATCATGAATACAGTTATACAGAAAACAAATTGATTCCACAAAGAGATGTAATTCTCTTTCATTCATTCAGATAGATGTATTTGTGACGTTGACATTGCAAATAAAGAAGGAAGTTGAAAAGAAGTAAACCTAAAACAAATCTCTATGTACACTAATGGAAGTAAAGATTGGCAAATGTCAAGGAAGCATATTGATGCCTAAGATCCAATTGAACCTAGCGTGTTACCAAAATTTTGGCCTGTTACAACATGCAATCATATGATATCGGCTTAATCCATTGTTGATGCTACAGAAAATAGTGAAGCAACAATCTGATGATAGTAAACCCTTGCTCTACATCGATAGCTTGCTGCGATAGGATGATAATCGTCATCAATCCTTCACAAGCCTAATATTAGGCCAACCTCAGTTACCGATCGGAATGCCCTAACTTATTCTCGAATGCAAGGACCACAACCACTTGATGATTTTTAATCATGTAGTTTACCATAAAACAATGTACACTACAAAATCGATTTCTAATTATGAAAGAAGAACGATCATAGAAACAATAAACGTGATGTTCTGTTTTCAATCGAAACCCTAGCTGATAATAAAAAACAAAAAAAAATAGAAAGCGAAGATATTTATGATCGTTAGGAACTTCTGCGTGAGGTATGGATGGATGAACGAGACTCAGCCGTAGCCGGATGTTTAATCGACGGAGCAAAGAAGCGGTGGGTGGCCCTCGGAGGTGGATGCCCGTTACACGAACGACAGAAAATTAGAAATCGCACACAAAACAGATGGGAATGGAGTAAAATTTTATAAGATTTATTTTACAGGAAAGGAAAGTCGCCAAAATAATATATATATATATATATATATATATATATATATATATATATATATATATTTAAATACACCCTTTTAATAATTAACTTTTAACATATTTATAATCAATTTTTTTCATTACAAAAATATTAAATAAATAATGTTATATTTATAAAACACTTATAAGTAAATATTATACATGTATTTATATAAATATTGCACATAAAAACTTTAAAATTAATATTATACATGCATTTATAGAAATATTATATATTGACACTTTTAAATAAGCTATTACAAGTGTGTTTTAAAATTTCAATATGTATTTAAATTTTTATATGAATTTAATACACAAAAAACAAGCTTTATATATATAAGTAATTAATAAAATTTAATACATAACAAAATAGTATAAATATTAAATGTTACATTTAAATTATAATTAATAGATAAAAATAAACTATAAATGTATAAAACAAAAGAAAGAGACTAAAATCGGCAATGAAACTTCAAACTCTGTTTTAGAAGAAATGAATAATGTTCCTACATATTTGATGTGATACTATTCCTCTGTCCCAAAATAGAGATAGAAATGAGATAAGGTTGGAGGAAAATCGGAGGATAAATGGAGTTTTAGGATGTCTTGGAGATGCTATTATGGTTCTTAGGAACAAAGTATCCATGTAAATTTGGAAGGATTGGTCGAAGGGAGATAAACCTATATGGCTTATGTGAAGTTATTCTTCAAATATGTGCTCTTGAGAATAATAAAGGGTATATGGTTTCCCATTGGTTCTATTTGGGCACCCATCCAAACGCTTCATGGATTCCAAACCAATGATAACAATGACATATGGGTTTAGCGTTTATCTAATACAAGAGATTTCATGGTTACTTCTTTATGTTATACCACACATCTTCAATCGAGTTCTACTTTAGACACATTGAAGATTTACCAATTTCATAGATCTATGATCGCCAATCAATAGTTTACTTTTGGATACTATGGAGATGTGAGAACAACCTTCTATTTGAGACTAAATAACAACATACAAAAAATTCGTTGTTAAACAAAAACATAAACCCTTATGTAAATCCAACTTAATTTCATATATTTCATTAGTTAAGCCTTTTAAAATGTCAACTTTCTAATAATAATTAACTTAATAAAATTCACCAACCGAAATTATTAGATACATTTTGTGAAATAAGTGTCTCCCACACGTCCCCCACCCATTGCTGTCCTCACATTTGATTTGAACACTTTCGGGTTGTCCCTTAAATCACCCGCAGCCTCATGATTTAAAGGATCTTCATGGTTCGGTTCCTGTATACACTTAATTAATTATAACATATCCATTTACAACAATATAGATAAATATTTTTAAAGTTTTCGTTCCCAGATACTTGCAGTACTATACCAGTCACCAATCCTGGTATAGTACTGCCAGTATTGTATGCAAGTACTATCAGTACGGTACTACTGTCAGTACTGAATGCTAGTATTTTACATGAATCATACCGTGAAGAGATGATACAATCCGTAAACAATTGTGTTTATGTTGAGGACGGGCTTCCAATCTTCTCGTAAGATGTTGAGGCAAACATTTCCTTCCAAGTCAATATTAGGATGATACACCTGATATTTTATATATATTTCTCAATGCGTAACTTTAACAAAAAGTAAATACTCAAATAATAAATGAGAAGAATACATTTTTTTTTACTTTGGTTTTACACTTGACTTTTGGCGCCTCGTGTGGATAGGTAGCACCAACATTGAAAGGGAACAAAAATTTTCCACCCCTATAACATAAATAAACACATATAAGTTATAAAGCAAGATTATATGTATATGGAAAGTTTATAAAAGAAAAGGATTTAAAGGAAAACGTACATGTAATACCCTTCATCGGGTTTAATGGTGATCTCAAAAGCCATTAAGTCGTCCTTGCCATTTGGAAATGAAATGGTGCATGATTTTGGTAGGTTTAGTTCACTTATGTCTAGAAAATGTAACGTGTTAAACGTAAGCATATATATATATATATATATATATATATATATATATATATATATATATATATATATATATTAGTATTTATAGAAATACAAGATATAAAGTCATTATGTTGGTTGAAATTATATAGATAAAAGGTTTTACCCTTATGAACACGCAATTCCCCTGCACTTTGCTTCTTAAAGGATCCATTTCCGTTTGCATTTTTCGCCTCTTCTTTTTGCTTTTCCTTGACTTTAAACAACCTAATCATGGTTCCTATAGAAAGGATAAGAACCATAGTTAAATTTGAAGAAAAATCTACTTCTTTTAACATAGTAAGAAACCAAGTCATGAGTTCACCTAACAGGTAAGTCGATCAAGATTGAAATACTGAATAGGATCATGTATTTGCATGATGTTAAACTAACACATGAACTTTATTTATAGTAGGTTCTATGATGTCTATGGGAGATTCCACCATAGATTAGGGCGATTCTTATTAGTGGAATTACATATGAAATTCAACATAATTACTTAGCATCTTAAAGAGAACTCACTGGGAAAAGAATGGTGAATCATGAATACAGTTATACAGAAAACAAATTGATTCCACAAAGAGATGTAATTCTCTTTCATTCATTCAGATAGATGTATTTGTGACGTTGACATTGCAAATAAAGAAGGAAGTTGAAAAGAAGTAAACCTAAAACAAATCTCTATGTACACTAATGGAAGTAAAGATTGGCAAATGTCAAGGAAGCATATTGATGCCTAAGATCCAATTGAACCTAGCGTGTTACCAAAATTTTGGCCTGTTACAACATGCAATCATATGATATCGGCTTAATCCATTGTTGATGCTACAGAAAATAGTGAAGCAACAATCTGATGATAGTAAACCCTTGCTCTACATCGATAGCTTGCTGCGATAGGATGATAATCGTCATCAATCCTTCACAAGCCTAATATTAGGCCAACCTCAGTTACCGATCGGAATGCCCTAACTTATTCTCGAATGCAAGGACCACAACCACTTGATGATTTTTAATCATGTAGTTTACCATAAAACAATGTACACTACAAAATCGATTTCTAATTATGAAAGAAGAACGATCATAGAAACAATAAACGTGATGTTCTGTTTTCAATCGAAACCCTAGCTGATAATAAAAAACAAAAAAAAAATAGAAAGCGAAGATATTTATGATCGTTAGGAACTTCTGCGTGAGGTATGGATGGATGAACGAGACTCAGCCGTAGCCGGATGTTTAATCGACGGAGCAAAGAAGCGGTGGGTGGCCCTCGGAGGTGGATGCCCGTTACACGAACGACAGAAAATTAGAAATCGCACACAAAACAGATGGGAATGGAGTAAAATTTTATAAGATTTATTTTACAGGAAAGGAAAGTCGCCATATATATATATATATATATATATATATATATATATATATATATATATATATATATATATATATATATATATATATATATATTTAAATACACCCTTTTAATAATTAACTTTTAACATATTTATAATCAATTTTTTTCATTACAAAAATATTAAATAAATAATGTTATATTTATAAAACACTTATAAGTAAATATTATACATGTATTTATATAAATATTGCACATAAAAACTTTAAAATTAATATTATACATGCATTTATAGAAATATTATACATTGACACTTTAAAATAAGCTATTACAAGTGTGTTTTAAAATTTCAATATGTATTTAAATTTTTATATGAATTTAATACACAAAAAACAAGCTTTATATATATATATATATATATATATATATATATATATATATATATATATATATAAGTAATTAATAAAATTTAATACATAACAAAATAGTATAAATATTAAATGTTACATTTAAATTATAATTAATAGATAAAAATAAACTATAAATGTATAAAACAAAAGAAAAAGACTAAAATCGGCAATGAAATTTCAAACTCTGTTTTAGAAGAAATGAATAATGTTCTTACATATTTGATGTGATACTATTCCTCTGTCCCAAAATAGAGATAGAAATGAGATAAGGTTGGAGGAAAATCGGAGGATAAATGGAGTTTTAGGATGTCTTGGAAATGCTATTATGGTTCTTAGGAACAAAGTATCCATGTAAATTTGGAAGGATTGGTCGAAGGGAGATAAACCTATATGGCTTATGTGAAGTTATTCTTCAAATATGTGTTCTTGAGAATAATAAAGGGTATATGGTTTCCCATCGGTTCTATTTGGGCACCCATCCAAACGCTTCATGGATTCCAAACCAATGATAACAATGACATATGGGTTTAGCGTTTATCTAATACAAGAGATTTCATGGTTACTTCTTTATGTTATACCACACATCTTCAATCGAGTTCTACTTTAGACACATTGAAGATTTACCAATTTCATAGATCTATGATCGCCAATCAATAGTTTACTTTTGGATACTATGGAGATGTGAGAACAACCTTCTATTTGAGACTAAATAACAACATACAAAAAATTCGTTGTTAAACAATAACATAAACCCTTATGTAAATCCAACTTAATTTCATATCTTTCATCAGTCAAGCCTTTTAAAATGTCAACTTTCTAATAATAATTAACTTAATAAAATTCACCAACCGAAATTATTAGATACATTTTGTGAAATAAGTGTCTCCCACACGTCCCCCACCCATTGCTGTCCTCACATTTGATTTGAACACTTTCGGGTTGTCCCTTAAAACACCCGCAGCCTCATGATTTAAAGGATCTTCATGGTTCGGTTCCTGTATACACTTAATTAATTATAACATATCCATTTACAACAATATAGATAAATATTTTTAAAGTTTTCGTTCCCAGATACTGGCAGTACTATACCAGTCACCAATCCTGGTATAGTACTGCCAGTATTGTATGCAAGTACTATCAGTACGGTACTACTGTCAGTACTGAATGCTAGTATTTTACATGAATCATACCGTGAAGATATGATACAATCCGTAAACAATTGTGTTTATGTTGAGGACGGGTTTCCAATCTTCTCGTAAGATGTTGAGGCAAACATTTCCTTCCAAGTCAATATTAGGATGATACACCTGATATTTTATATATATTTCTCAATGCGTAACTTTAACAAAAAGTAAATACTCAAATAATAAATGAGAAGAATACATTTTTTTTTACCTTGGTTTTACACTTGACTTTTGGCGCCTCTTGTGGATAGGTAGCACCAACATTGAAAGTGAACAAAAATTTTCCACCCCTATAACATAAATAAACACATATAAGTTATAAAGCAAGATTATATGTATATGGAAAGTTTATAAAAGAAAAGGATTTAAAGGAAAACGTACATGTAATACCCTTCATCGGGTTTAATGGTGATCTCAAAAGCCATTAAGTCGTCCTTGCCATTTGGAAATGAAATGGTGCATGATTTTGGTAGGTTTAGTTCACTTATGTCTAGAAAATGTAACGTGTTAAACGTAAGCATATATATATATATATATATATATATATATATATATATATATATATATATATATATTAGTATTTATAGAAATACAAGATATAAAGTCATTATGTTGGTTGAAATTATATAGATAAAAGGTTTTACCCTTGTGAACACGCAGTTCCCCTGCACTTTGCTTCTTAAAGGATCCATTTCGGTTTGCATTTTTCGCCTCTTCTTTTTGCTTTTCCTTGACTTTAAACAACCTAATCATGGTTCCTGTAGAAAGGATAAGAACCATAGTTAAATTTGAAGAAAAATCTACTTCTTTTAACATAGTAAGAAACCAAGTCATGAGTTCACCTAACAGGTAAGTCGATCAAGACTGAAATACTGAATAGGATCATGTATTTGCATGATGTTAAACTAACACATGAACTTTATTTATAGTAGGTTCTATGATGTCTATGGGAGATTCCACCATAGATTAGGGCGATTCTTATTAGTGGAATTACATATGAAATTCAACATAATTACTTAGCATCTTAAAGAGAACTCACTGGGAAAAGAATGGTGAATCATGATGTAACGAACTGTTCCCGATATGTTAATTTATTAGTAATTGTTTAAAAGATTTGCAAGAGGGACTCGGCGAGTTCATAGCCTGACTCGCCGAGTAGGGTCGCGACTTCGAGCACGTGTTAGCTGGAGACTCGGCGAGTCCATATCCCGGACTCGGCGAGTCCATCCGTCTGGGTGAAACCCTAAATCCCCGGGTTGCCCACTATTTAAGTCACCTTATAGCCCCATTCTTGCCTCCTTCACCCTGAGAACACTGTGAGAAAAACCCTAGTTCATCCTTGAGAGTTTATAAGTGATTTTGTGTGATTTGTGAAGGCTTGAAGAAGGAGAAGAAGAAAGGAGCAAGAAGAAGAAGAGTTGTGCAAGATCCAAGGGCAAATCTGAGTTATTTGGAGGTATTTTCGGATTCCCCTCTTGTTTTATGCTTTAAACCTCCATTAGAACTCTTCTAAGAACTAGTTGATGCTTGTTCCAAGCCTTGTGCTTTCATGAACGCCCTAATAAGCCGAGATAACCTTGGATCTATTCATTGAGAAGTCCCATAGTCCAGATCTATTGCCTTTATGAGGATACTTTGCATATTAACCCTAGATCTATCCCTTTTATGCATCTTTTAGCCTTATTTTCCCTTATTCATGTGTTGTACACGTAAAGTTGGAAACTTTACGTGGTAAACCAGCTTATTGGACTCAGATCTATCATTTGTATGTGTTGGATTCAAGCAAAATCGGGTGAAAAACAGTTGCATGGCGGCAACTCGGCGAGTCGGGAAGAACGACTCGGCGAGTTGAGTCGCGAGTCCCCGATTCCTTCATTTTTAGCAGTGTTGAGTGGAACCAGTGAGTTAGAGAGTGGACTCTGCGAGTTGAAGGTAGACTCAGTAATGGAGGGACTCGGCGAGTTGTTCATACAACTCGGCGAGTCCAAGGCAATCTTCTTAAGATCAAGAACAACTCGTCGAGTATGTTCATACGGCTCGGCGAGTCGGATGAAGATTGTCTGAGTTCTTGGATCAAGAGGGTACTCGTCGAGTCGATGCCATACTCGACGAGTAGCAGCGAGTAGGATTGAAAAGTGAGAGTAGGACTCGGCGAGTTGGGTGGCCCAACTCGGCGAGTCAGTCCAAATGAGAGTAACTTTGACCAAGGGTAAAAGAGTCATTTTACCCAAGTGCAGTGTTTAGTATTTGATTGAGTGTGTTTATGGACTTGTAGCCGGGGAGATACAGGAGCAGCAGCCGTTAGCTTCCAGAGCCACACACTCAGCAGCCAGTTTACGAGGTGAGTTTCCTTCCAGTAGGGACGGGTCTAAGGCCACAATGCCGGCCCGTTCAGTTAGCAGTAGTTTCCGGACTTTGGTCCGATGCAGTAGCTAGTATGTTTGATGCCTTCGTGGCTCAGACAGGATTTGTATGCTATGTTTTATGTGTTAAGTGTTATGTGTTCGGGCTACGGCCCGATGTAGTATGCAGTATATGTGTTCATGCTAGATGATGTGTTATGCTATGCCATGTTCAGTCAGTCAGTTCCGGACTTCGGTCCGATGCAGGGGACAAGGTCCCAGTCGGTTCCGGACTTCGGTCCGATGCAGATAGTTCCGGACTTCGGTCCGATGCAGTTAGTTCCGGACTTTGGTCCGATGCAGTTAGTTCCGGACTTCGGTCCGATGCAGTTAGTTCCGGACTTCGGTCCGATGCAGGGGACAAGGTCCCAGTCAGTTCCGGACTTCGGTCCGATGCAGTTTCCGGGCTTCGGCCCGATGCAGTGGGCCAGGCCCAATATGTGTTTATATGATACTGTATGGTATGTGGTAGTTTGGGGGAGCTCACTAAGCTTCGTGCTTACAGTTTCAGTTTTGGTTTCAGGTACTTCCGCAAGCAAAGGGAAGAGCTCGGGGTGATAGCATCGCACACACCACAGCTTAGCTTTTATCCTGGGGATGGTTTTAGTTGTCTTGATTTGATATAGTATGATACAGTTTTTCCGCACAGTATTTTATTATGATTTGGGATACATCGCGTATGTTTTTATGTTATGATACTCAGATTATGGTTTTGATTACATTGAAAAACAAAATTTTTGGGTCGTATTTTTGGGTCGTTTCAAGTTGGTATCAGAGCCCTGGTTTAAGGGATTCGGATACACTTCCGGGTGTATCTGAACTCAAACTAAGGGAAATAAAATATTTTGTTTTTTTTAAAAAATAAATAAATAAATAAATAAAAACGTTTTACAAAAAGAATTTTGAAAGCACTTAGAAGGAAAGAAATCGTTTTTTTAACGAGATAGAGGTGTGTGCATGCGATCAGCCGAGCTCAAGTAAGTACTCCCAAATTACCCATACAAGTTATTTGTTCAGTTTCAGTTTCAGTAGAACAACATGCTAAAATAGGACTAAGGAGCTAGGAGAATGCCTTATGTGCCTGCTTTATGTATTACAGCTTTATGAGTATTGCATGCTAGAATTGAGTAGACAGCAGTAGGATAGCCTGATTAGGTTATGCCTGATAGTGGGAGCTTAGCATCCTATGCTAGTGCAGTTTCTTGTTACGAGAATAGTTTTGCTTGAGTCTGTTTCCCTTGTCCGAATGTTGCTTGCTTCGTGCTTTGTGGGAATCTGAGTGATGGGAGTTAGCCATTAGGTGAACACGTCACACCACATGTGGTCAGGGTTGAATAATCCCAGAGTGCTGGAACTGGCCCTATTGCGCAGCTCTTGTTTGAGTCCAACCGTTATAGGGACGGGTCTTTTACTTGAAGGATTATCTGATCCTCATCACATGTGATGGTGTTTAGGTAGTGGCTAATTGGCATTATGAGGAGACCTTCAGCAGCTGAGGACCAGTTGTGTTAAGTCTGAGGTTTCCCTAGGGCAAGCCTAGGATGAGAGTAGCAGAGAATAGCAGTAGTAGAAGTGACTTGGTGGAGTCAAGGCAGTCCTTGAGGAAAGTACGGATAGATGTGGAAGGTAGTATGGGCCCGTACTACTGAAAGCAGAGGATCCGTACTCGAATCAAGGAAGGCCAAGACAAGACCAGGAAGCTAGTAGTAGTATCACGATCCCTTGTGATATTTCAGTGTTTTGATGTTGTTATGATATGTTTCAGAATGGTAGTTTTGCGCCCGAGACCAGCAGTCGGCAGCTCAGATGCCGGAGGGGGATCAGGATCGGGATCAGGCCCGGAGGTCGGGCAGATGGATGAGCAGACCAGAGAGTTCCTTTCTTCTGAGGTTACCCGCATCATACTGGAGCAGACTCCTGTGATCTTCGGTTCGATCAAGGAGGGTATTTTAGAGCTGATGGATGAGAGATTGGGTGGTTTTCGTGCTGAGATGGCGGCCATGATGGGGTCGCGCACACTTACGTTCAGGGAGTTCAGGGCATGCGGAGCTCCAGACTATCATGGGCGCGGGACCCCATAGCGAGTACCAGATGGTTGGCGGATGTGGCCAACGCTTTCCGCACTAGCAGGTGTCCCGAGGGGGACAAGGTCAGATTGGCGTCCTGTCTTCTGAAGGACAGGGCACGGGATTGGTGGGAGGAGGTTGGACATGCCATCGGGGATGATGCAGCATTGGATGCCATGACCTGGACTGATTTCTCTACTAGGTTCAGGGCGGAGTTTGCACCGGTCATTGAGGTGCAGCAGCTAGCTAGGGAGTTTCAGGACCTTACCCAGACTACAGAGACGGTGGCGGAGATCACCGCCAAGTTCAGGGAGAGGGCTCTTCTTGTTCCTCAGTATGCAGCCGATGAGGAGATGAAGAAGGCCCGTTATCATGAGATGTTGCGGAGTGATATCCGCATGTTTGTGAGCCGGTCCAGTTGTAAAACGCTGGACGACATGATTGCTAGAGCTAGGGAGAGGGAGATTGATCTCGAGATGGAGAAGAAGAGGAAACCGGAGGCGGTTTCGGGTTCAGGCAGTGTGGGCAAAAAGCCCAAGGTTTCAGATCACAGGTCCAGGAGTCAGCAGAGCCACGGTCGGTGTGGCAAGTGTGGGAGATTGCACGAGGGGGCGTGCAAGGCAGGGAGTTCCGGCTGCTACAAGTGCGGTCGGATTGGGCATTTGAGCAGGGATTGTACGGCCCCTGCTACTACGGTTACAGCATCAGATCTGATTTGCTTTCAGTGCAATCAGAGGGGACATAAAAAGTCCCAGTGTCCCAGTTTAGCTGCAGCGGGGAAGGTGGTTGCACCTGCCCCTGCCACCTTGAGGATTACGGATGGCCGGCAGGGCCGATCTGATGCGCCAGTGGCGAAGAGCAGGGCGTTTCAGATGACAGCAGAGGAGGCGCGAGCGACTCCTGATGTGGTGACGGGTATGTATCTTTCCTTCACCTTTTAATTATCATTATCGTTTGAATATTACTTGATGATATGTTTTATTTAGGGTCGTTCTCGGTGAACGGCATCTCTGCTTTGGTATTGTTCGATTCGGGGGCTACCCGATCATTCGTATCGCTTGCGCTTAGCAAGAGATTTAGCAGAGCTCCAGGGGAGCTGGATTGTCCATTAGAGGTTGAGATAGCAGATGATAGGACCGTGAGGGTCGGCAGAGTACATAGAGGGTGTTCCCTTCAGATATTTGATGAGCAGTTTTCAGTGGACCTGGTTCCTATTCCCCTGCGAGGGAATAAAGTTATTGTGGGTATGGATTGGCTAAGCCCAATGGGGCGGTGATTGATTGTGAGCTTCAGCTAGTGAGGGTTCGCACTC